AAGTGTTCCATTTGAATTAAAGCCAATTGTAGTCTTTAACTTTATCTCAAACTTTCCTACACATCGTGTTCTCAGATTCGATTAGAAGAGTTATGACGAAAACATCTGCAGTGAAATTAGCTGTATACAGTGACCGCATTTATCCTTTGCTCTGCCGTCGACGCTAATCCTTATGTAATTATCCTTTACATTGTTTTACACATCGTTAGTTGTACTCGTGATGTAATAAATTTTGGCTATTTTCCACATCTCAGATTCATTTAATCCCGCCGTTTATAATTGGAAAATATATTTTATTCTCTTTATAAGTTACACGCGTGTATGTGTGGTATTTAACATGGTTTTAAAGCTTGTATATAATTTTGAAAAGGCACGCAAGTACGGGAAAAAACAATAAGAAGGAATTTTATAAAATTATGCGTACAGGACGTTCACAAAATCGCTTCAATAGAAAGGCAGACTTGGACTGGGTGTATACATACATTTGAAAAATAGTCCAGAGAAATAAGGTATTTCCGAGACTTCGATCAGGTCCAACAAAGAAGCCCATACAGGCGACAATATCCGGGATAGGCTCGTCAGGAGATAAAACAGCCTACTGGAGTATGAAACTTTTAATCGAAACTCATTACGAAAGTGACTTCGAGATGGAAATAGAAGCACTAGTACTACCGAAGATAACAAGGAATTTACCGGAACAGGATATAATTCTACCGGACTATAACGAGAAAAATGCAATACTGGCAGATCCAAGATATAACAAGGTAAGGAAGATAGACTTACTACTAGGAGTAAAAGAATACAGCTACATATTGACAGAAGGGATGCACAGAATAAGTAATGGACTCCTGAGTCAAAACACCAAACTAGGATGGATAGTTTCGGAAATAGCACGAGAAAGGGAGAATATAAAAGCAGAAGTATGCTGTATGATATCAAGACAAGAAATGGACGTACAAATAAAGAACTTCTGGGAATTAGAAGAAGTAAATCAGGACACAAGTTTCTCAGTATAAGAACAAGAATGTGAAGAACTGTATCGACAGACTGTAAAAAGGAATGAAGAAGGGAGATACGAAGTAAAAATTCCGTTTAGGGAAGACGTCGCAAAGTTAGGAGAATCTAAACAGCAAGCATTCACCAGATTGATGCAACTAGAAAGGAAGTTTGCAATAGACAAACAGTTAGAAGCGAATTACAGACAATTCATGGAGATTATGAAAACCAAGGTCATATGATAATAGCAGAAAACCAGGGAAATGGGTACTACTTACCTCATCATCCAGTGAGAAAACAGGATAGTACTACAACGAAAATAAGAGCAGTGTTTAATGCATCAAGCAAAAGCTCATCGGCGGTAAGCCTGCATGATATTATGCACACAGGGCCGAAATTACAACAAGATTTGACAAATATACTATTACGATGAAGATCCAATAAGAAAGCATACTCAGCGGATCTGGAAAAAATGTTTAGACAAATCAGAATGGCAGAAGATGACCAAAAATATCAAAAAATTTTGTGGAGAAAGGACACAAAGGACGGTGACATACGGCACGGCCGCAGCACCCTTTTTAGCGTTAAGAACAATACAACAATTACAAGAAGACGAAGGAGCGAGGTTCCCGTTGGCATCGAAAATTGTAAAAGAAAACATGTATGTAGACGATATACTAGGAGGAGCTGAGACAGTGCAGGAAGCAGAAACAGCCCAAAAGGAATTAATACAACTGTTCAGAAAAGGAGGTTTCATTCTTAGGAAATGGTTGAACAACGAAGAAAAAATAATGGAGAACGTACCGGAGGATATGAGGAACGTAGACTCCAAGGCAGTCAAACAAGAAGAAGTACGGAAAACGTTAGGAATACACTGGTCCCCTAAAGAGGATATTATCACATTCAAAACAGGGATAACGAAGGCAAAGAAAATAACGAAAAGACACGTACTGTCAGAAGTAGCAAAACTATACGACCCACTGGGATGGATAGCACCTGTAGTAATTCAAGCGAAAATGTTCATACAGGAATTATGGGAGCAAAAAAACAGTTGGGATAAAGAATTAACTAGCAACCAACAAAACAGGTGGAATACATACCAGGCGCAATTAGTAAATCTGGAGAAAATAACATTGCCCAGGTGGAACAACTTAAGCAAGATAAACAGAGTAGAACTACATGGATTTGCAGATGCGTCTATGAAAGGATATGGAGCAGTAATCTACTCAAGGGTATTAGGCCCAGAAATAAAAACGAATCTAATTGGCATTATTTTGTGGCCACCGGGACCATTACTACAATGGTAATAATTGGGATACTCACGTTATGGAAGTACCGTCCTGTTGCACGACTATGTCGTTCAGGTAATCCACAAACTCAAAATAACGAACAGGAAGTACCTGTATTAGTTAATAATCGGCACAACAATGTACCGTCGACTTCCCAAGCCGACATCCCACTCTCCACATTTTCATCCAATTGCCCTGATTTTAATCTAGAGATAGAGTCGGACATTGATAGCTAGGGTACGGTTGGAAGATTATTGATTATTCTTAAACTATTTATAATTTATCATGTTTGAATTTTACTATGTTATGTAATACTTATATGTAAACTTTGAGTATTGACACTTGGGCCAGATTGCCCGATTCCGCAGTATGTCCAATATCAAATCTTCAGAATTCATATCCGAAATTGGACAGTATAATTTTATCACCCAGTAGACCGAATGAATTTATTTGTTATTAAATACACACACGTAGGTAATTAGGTTACATTAGATTTGGTCAATTATCAACAATAAAATTTGGACATCAGTCGAAAGTGCTGATGAAAGTTAAACAATTTACACACAACTTAGATACACATGTCATTAGGTCCGCGAATATATTGACCCAATTAAAACTTATATAAAACTAAAATCTCTTGCGTAGAGAAACATTCAATCAATATTCACTCAACAAACGTGATAGTCTTCAACGCTCAACTACAACAGTCTCTACTCAAAGTAATCCCGGGTCAACACCCATAGTGTACGTCTCGTCAATAAACTCTGCTAATATTATTTTGTGTTTCCATTACAATGAACGAACATCTTCACTGAGCCAACGAAGGGGAATCTGTTCAGGGTTCATGTTACTGACAAGTTTTTTTAGTTTTATGGACCTCATTTAAAACCTCTATGTTTTCTACAATGGGTTCGATCTTCTTCTTCTTCTTTCAGTACCCTGTCCGATTATCGAATGTTGCTGATCATATTGGCAATAATAACTTTGTTTACGGCGGCTCTAAATAAATTAGCGGTGACCTCTTGATACCACTCTCGGGGATTTCAGAACCAGGATGTTCTTCTTCGGCCTGGGCCACTCCTTCCGACGATTTTTTTCATTTTTAAGTTGCTGGTATAGTTCTTCCACTGATATATTTTCTCGATCCACATTTTGTAATTTTGTGGTCAGTCGTAATTTGTAAAGAAATTTCGTTTAATCTCCTTTTAAGGTTTCTAGGTTATATTTAGGGGGTGTTACTTCTTGTCTCTTTTCTATATTCTTTACCTGAGTGTTATTGTTTTTGCGTTAATTAACTATCACGTTGGCCATAAGTAAACGATGGTCGGATCTACATTCTGATCCACGGTATACCCTTACTTCAGTTGTGTTCAGCTGGGAAGTTTGACGCTGGATTACATAGTCGATTATCGAGTGCAGATTCCAAGTAGGTTATATCCATGTAAATTTGTGGATGTCTCTATGTTGAAAAAATCCATTCATATTTTTGAGAGACATTGTTTCACAAAAATCTCTAAGACGCATTCCGTTGTCATTGGTTATTTGTTCCCCATATCTTCCTACGACTCTGTTATTTTCTTCTCTCCCTGCTCTGCCATTTAAATCTCCTAGTATAAAGATTTCACACTTTTCTTTAACTTGAGAGAGTATTTCATTCATCTTGTTGTAGAAATCGTCTTTACTTTCTTGACCAGTATTTACATTTGGGGTATACACTCCGACAATTACGATGTTGTGCCCATTCTGTTTCATTTCCAGTATTAGAAGTTGTTCATTTACTTTAGTCCATGATTTAATATTGTTTTTAAGATTTTTTCGAATGTCAATAGAAACTCCTCTCTTAGCTATGTTATCTTTGCTCACTCCACTGTAGATATGTATATATTCTCCTATCTCTTCATTTCTTTTTCTCTTTTTCTTGGTCTTAGTGAGAATACATATATCTATTTTTCTTTCCGCTAATTCTTTGAATACTTCTGCTTGTTTGGTTCTAGGTCCTTTTACATTCCATGTAGTCAATATCATGTTCCTTTTCCGTTGTATTCGTCGTCTTTGTTTTGATTCATCCTTTATATTCCGAGGCTTTTGGTCGAACTTTTAGCATTTATTTCTTTTGACAAGGGATGAGTTGCTAGCCCATCGCCTCAACCCTACTGCTTTATCCGGGCTTAGGATCGCCACCGGCATTTACTGAGTTAATCAATCCACCCAGTACCTCTGGGGAGGAGTTAAAACTTTATTATATATTTAGTCTTCTAACGACTTTTCAGACAAATATTGCTAAAATCAATGAATAATGTATGGTTCAGCTTGCACCGTTTCTAGTCGACATTGTGGTATATTTTTAATATAAATTCACTGAGGATTTTTATTATGTAATAGCATAATCATAATCCACGAGTAAGATCACTTCTGTTTAATTAAAATCGTATTATTTCGAAATACATGGCTGTATGTTTTTATTCTACAGTACAAAAAAAAAGAAAGAAGAAAAAATATTAACGATAAAAAATAAGGATTTGTATTACACAAGGCTTTCCTTTCGAGAGTACTTTTTTAGGTTAAAAATATAAAGCAATTAAGATTATCCAGTTCAGCAACTTGATAGGTGTATTATATATAATATAAGGTGTGGTGTACAGATGTGTTCGATGGTTATATTATACGTAATGACTGTCTCATATATCACGATTGACAAACATCATCCATCCATCAGTCAAAACTGCATGTCATCAAAATTTCATGTTTATTCATTTTCATGTTTTCAGCATTCAAGAATTTTAAATTATTATTGCCGCTATCATTTTGCGTAAAACAAATATTCAAACATTTTACAAATATATTTATCATCCACGTCTGGTTGGACGATGTACACCTTTTGTAGCATTAATTCCTTCATTATATACTAAACCTTTAAGTACTCCCATAACATCATCAGATGTAGAAGAAAATATTGGAGAGCTACTTAATTTGGTGAAACATGCGCTAGATAAGGGAGAGCTGGATAAAGCAGAAGCTATTTTAGATATGGGCATCAAGATTTGTGAAGAGTATCAATCTTATTTTTCACTTCCATATATGTATGATGTTTTGGCATCAATAGCTTTTGCGACTGGCAAAATAGGAAAAGCAGAAAATATCTTGGTTAAGGTAAGTAACAAATCAATTACTGTGATACTAAAATATGGTATTTTTTATTACATAAATACGTCTATATCGTAATGTTTTATTGCTTTCTAAAATTTAAATTATGACAGTACATAACAGTCTCGTGTAAGATAACAACTCTAGAACTACATTTCAGCCATTGTATATAACTTTTATTCCTTTTAAAAGTTTATCTTCAACTTCATCTCCATAATACTTATTTAATATATTAATATTGAATTTGTGTAATCAATACCAGTTTTTCTCAGCGAGTTCTCCAAATTGGTGAGTTCCAAATAGGTACATATTTCTTAAGTTCATTGTGGTTCAACATTAGGATTCAGCAAATCGCACAGTTTAATTAATAACCTTTCTTATAACTTTTACATAACGTCAACCACTGCAGCTGATGAAATGATCTGGGGTATCCAATCGCGAATTTTCGACAGTCACGCTCGCACCCCATAGAGCCATATCTAAAACCCTTCTCATTTATTCATATTTATTATTTTTAACTCAAAAGCTATGAATTTTCAGTAAATATGTTGTACAAGATTTTTGTATTTTTTGTTATCTGTGCTGAGATTAACTATATGAGACACGTCGATTTTTAAATTTATTTCTGCTTTCATTTTGAGTAAATGTAACTATAATGACGTCACCACGACATCGTGATGACGTCATCCATTTAATTTTTAAATAGAAACCTATATTTTATCTGCTCCTATCTCCTCCGCGATTTTCTGTGGCCATCGAGTTCGTATTAAAATGTCTTCTTGCAACACCCCGTACACAAGAACTTTTTATCTTTAAAATACCCAAAAATGCAGAACTACATACAGAAACTTGAACATTATTTACATTTCGCGAAATAAAATAATTAATAGTGGGGTTTCTAGTATTATTCCTTGGTCGACTCCTCTTTGTAGCTGTGACCAAAATGTTTTTGAGAATAAAATTATCTTGTTCATTGACACAGTATTATAAAAATTTTTGTGAAAACAGAACACATCATTGGAATTTAAATTCGCACATAGTAATTTAATTGAATTGTGTCCGCATCGTGGTTTAATCGGTAGTCTCGGAGCAGAATACCTAAAACAAAATAAAATGATTAAAAAAAATCATAAAAATGAAGTTAAGATATTAATTAAGAGGAAAGTCGCAAAATGTTGCCTATCAAAATTTTCAATGTGTTTTAAACGTAGGTATTCATTTTTTTTCGAATCCTAAGGAAACTAATAAGTATTTTTGAAAAATTTAAACGCAGAATGAAAGATTACGTTATTACCGAGGGTCAAAAGTTCCTTAGAATTAATAAAAAGTTTCTTTTGAATGAAATATTTTCAATTAAAAATCACACAAAATTCCTCTTTTATTGTCACTCCTGTAACCTATTAAAATAAACAATATAGAAGTTTTCAGGGACATTCGGCCTTAGCAATCATGTAATATTTCATTCTGCGTTTGAATTTTTCAAAAATACTTATTAGTTTCGTTAGGATTTGAAAAAAAATAATACATTTAAAAATATAACTTCAAAAATTTGAACTCTCAAAATATTTCAAAAACTTGTAGCCCAAAATTTCTTATATTAAAATATTTCGATTTAAAATAAAAACTAAGTAGTTAAAATTTTTTATAAACTCAACTAAATATCAGATATCTTTGTTTATTTTTGAGGTTAGCTTTAAGACACAGTATTTTACTTACATTTTTTTCATCTTGAGAGCATTTTTGTCTTTGGATTTATTTCTATTTCTCTTATTTGCATCTTGTGGATCCACTATAACTAATTTGTTTTCCGTTTTCACCTCAAAATTTGATAAAAACTTAATAAAAGCGTTATGCTTAGCAGCTAAACAAACCACTGAAAATAGTGTAACGGTCAATCAAAGTGACGGTAAATGCACAGACTCGCACACCCTCTGATAATGCACTTCTTGCTTCTGATTGAATGCGATGGACATATGGACGTTTGATTAGAACCTGCACTTGGACTTACTTGATTATGAAATAAAATGACATTTTCAATACAGATTTTAGTATAAAATTAGAGAACATATGAGTATTTGATATATAACAATTCGTTAGTAGTACACGGAACAAGTCGAAACCACAGATTATCTCAAAATTTCATTAAATTGAACTTATGGAACTTTGATTTTTACCAACACATATATTAGATTTAATAGACCTAATTATAAAATCCCATTTACTTCGATAAAACCGGGTCTTGCAAGTAATGAAGACGTCCTAGTAATGAGTCATTACTTGAACCATCGTCCCATTTAAAAATTTGTGAATGGTTCCAACACAGGGATTAAACTTCAAGAATTATTGTTTTTGCATTAAAATTGATACAGTACGTAAACTCTATCTTTTCCCGTGCGTCATGATTCATTCTTAAACAAGTTAAGGCTGTTTTAGCAGTTCAAGCACACTGCGATTTGAAATGGGCGTATCACTTACTTTTCTACACTGCTTACGCGAGACTATCTTTACTCAGTGGCGCAGCCGACGGGTAGTTTAATGACAACAAATGCATTACTCTCCATTCAAATTAGTTTTAACACGAACTAACTGACCGTACGTTCATGAGATTTGACGTCACGAAGGCGATAACGGTAAAACTAAGCAACAATGATGAGTAACACGTTTCACTATTAGATTTTAGTATTTTTTAGCAATTTTCTTCAAAGTTGGAACACGCTTTTCTCGATTATTACTGGACACAGAAAGGTGAAAAAAAATCAACGATTACAGAAAAAAAATACTCTTTCAAGTGATGGGCGTAAAAAGTTTGGTTATAATAGAACGTTAAACAGTATAATCCAATTTTTCAACAGAAGTTTCAAAAAAATACAAAAAGTAAAACTATCATTTTATAAGCAACATAATTTCAAATATTGTGTCCAAATTTCGAGAAATTTTGTCGGTAAATAACAGTCCCTAGGTTTTGGTGCACCGATAAAACAGCCTTAAATCAAAATACTAAATGAAACGTACGTCGATGTGTAGATAATTATCATTGATACCTACTACTGTCAATGTAATAATTATGAAATGGCTATTGTATGGTCCGGTGGTTATTTTTTATAAAGTTAAATTTAGTAAATATATTATTTATTATAATTTTTGTGTATTTGGATTAGTATTCGCCGGGAATAGGATTAATAAATATATGATGAAAAGAGGATTTAAAATAATCCTAATATATATTGTATAATATTGTACAATCTGCCAAAATAATTAATTTAGTATCAATTTTATTCTATATTTTAACACTATCTATAGTTTAAAACACATTTATTTCGTTGAAATCATATAATAGAAGTATAACTTCTTACGTGGGTACTAAATAAACACACTCTTTTATTGAAGTGTTTATTGTTTTTCATTATTGAGGAGATTGATGGACTTAACATTGAACAGCTTGAACGTTATACCGACTATTACTAGTATAAACTAAACATAGAACGGTAATAAATAAATTTAAAAACAGTCACAACAACAAAGTTAATATTGTTAAGAAGATTTAATATTTCCTAATGTTGAGAAATACAAAACTATCGAGTGAATTACATAAAACACAATTAATATTTTTAATAAATCACACCTTTAGGGAAACAGTGACACAAGTGCAAATTTTTCACAAATTTAGTTATCAACACTTCATGTGTTGATAACAAACATATCTTCAAACAAGACTAAAACAAAAGATTGGGTACATATATTAACAATAAACTGCCAACCGAAATAGAGACTCATGTATTTTAATTCTCGTCATCACTGAATCTGAGCTATCACCAGAATTTATTATAACTGGATAAATGCCAACTTTCACCATACTCTTGTCTTGGATATACCATTTTTTGAAAATGTCATTATTATGTCTGACACATTTCTCCCAAATATCTGCATTACATTGTTCCAGTACCTTATTCCATATATTTAAAACGGCAATATCAGAATACCCATGACCATCTATACCAATATACTTATTGTAATACGACTTGTCCAGTCTTGACCTACGGAGCAGAGACCTTAACTTTAACGAAAGCTACTGCCGAAAAACTGAGGGTAACACAAAGGCGAATGGAGAGATCAATGCTGGGCCTGACCTTGAAAGATCGCGTAAGAAATGAGGAGATACGCCGACGAACTGGCGTAGACGATATTATACTGCGAATCAATAAACAAAAGTGGAGGTGGGCTGGACATGTTGCTAGAATGGAAGACGGAAGATGGACGAAGAGATTATTGGAGTGGAGACCAAGAGCCGACAAGCGAAGTCGAGGCAGACCACCCACCCGATGGACCGACGACCTAAAGAGAATAGAAACAAACTGGATTGCAGCAGCTAGAGATAGAGAGAACTGAGACGTTTGGAGGAGGCCTATATCCAACAATGGATGTGAAAATTCGGCTGGATGATGACTACAACTTGCAATTTGCCCAAATTAATTCTATTGCGTTAAATTCACAGTGATAAGGAGGCAATCTCAACATCTCATGACTATAGGGAGCAACTCATCAATTACATATATATTTTCTTTTCTGTTATTTTTGACTATTTGTAGCAATTCAGCTTTAAAAAAATGTGGGTCATATTTAATATTATTTGTTATTAACCAATTAATAATTTTATCTTTCCATGAAGTAGTTCAAGGTTGTTTATTTAAAAGGACACTGTGGTAAGAAGAATTATCCATTACAACCAATGATGGCTCTTTTAAATTAGGTATTAATTGTGTTCTTATCCACTTAGTAAAAAGTTCGTTGTTCATTCCTTCATGATAATCAGCTACGTTAGATTTTGAACAAAACAATAAATTTGCTCCCGAAACAAATCCTTTTCGTGAATCAGCGTGAACAATTACGAAACGTTTACCATAATAACCTTCTGGTTTTTGAACATTTTTGGCACTATTATCTTGCCAAGAATTTGTTTTATTTGCTTTGGAGTAAATCCAAGTTTTATCTAAAAAAAAATAACTCCTCTTGTAAATACACTTTCACGATTTTCAATATATTTACGAAGGAATCTTTTAGAACAGCAATAGTAGTTTGCTCAATTAATGCTCGTCGATTTTCATTCTTTTTTATTTTAAATCAGACGTCTTTTAACAATGTACTAAGCGAAAATTTTCCAATATCCGCTACTTCTTTATCCCTTAATTGACAGGTCAAACTCCACAGAGCAATAATAAGTAAAAAAAGAATTCATTATCGTCTTTTATAGCCAAAAATAAGTAGATAGAAAATTTAATGAAAATTGAAGTATCTACCCAGGTTCTTGTTTATCATAAACTTCACACTGAAGAAATTAATACTTACTCTGTTAATACATATCAAACAATGTATTCCGTACTACCATTTTTGATGCATCGGGCACATCAGTCGTCCTACTTTCAAAACGACGTCTATTTTTGCCTAGTTTTAAAAGGACAGGATTGTTTGCTTTGCTTTTTTTCGAGTATATTGTTAGCCGTGATATTTTTAAAGGAGTGGCAACTCTTTTAAAAAATAATTATTGAATAGTAACTGATTCACAAATTATATGCGGAACTACTGAAATGTCTGGTCGATGAAACTCTATCTGTACTTCTGGACCTATTTAATGAAATATATAAAACTGGAAAAATCCCACAGGAATTGTTGGTGTCCACCTTTGTGGCAATACCAAAAACAGTATATACCAAAGATTGTTCAGACTATAGGACAATATCATTAATAAGCCATACCCTCAAAATATTTCTAAAGGTGATTCATGGAAGATTATATAGAAAACTAGAAGAGGATATGGATGATACTCAGTTTGGGTTCCGCAAGGGACTGGGAATGAAAGAGGCATTGTTTGCTTTTAATGTCCTCTCTCAAAGATGGTTAGATATGAACCTAGATATTTATTCCTGTTTCATCGAGAAGGCATTCGACAGGGTCCGACATGAAAAACTAATAAAAATACTGAGAAACAAAGATATAGACAAACGACACTTACGAATCAGTATCAATCTGTATTGGAATCAAAAGGCCAATATAAAGATAGAAGAACAAAAGTCCGAAAATAAAGATATAAATATAGGAGTAAGACAGGGCTGTGTTCTGTCGCCATTACTGTTTAACGTGTACAGTGAAGCCATATTCCAGGATGCGATAGCGGATCTGGGTGATGAAATTCCTGTAAACGGAAGAATAGTAAATAATATAAGATTCGCTCATGACACTGTTATAATGGCAGACACCCTGGAATCACTACAAGAATTGGTAAATAGAATTAACGATAATTGCATTAGATACGGACTAAAAAAAATAAGAGAAAAACTAAATTTCTCATTGTCTCAAAAACGCAATATGGAAATGAAAGATTAATGATAGAGCAAACCCAAATAGAAAAAGTAGAGACATACAAATATCTAGAAACCTGGGTTGATGACAAAACTGACCAAAGCAGAGAAATCAAAGTCCGAATTGAAACTGCAAGGCAAGCATTTGTGAAAATGAAGACAATGCTTACCAACAGAGACCTTCAGTTGCATCTCAGATTGAGGGTTCTAAGATGTTACATATTTTCTATCTTACTATACGGAATGGAAGCTTGGACATTGAAGAAACAACACATAAGAAAAATAGAAGCGTTCGAAATGTGGTGTTACAGAAGAATGTTAAAAATTCAGTGGGTTCAAAGGATTACCAATGCTGAGGTACTACGACGTCTAATTAAGTAGTTAGAAATTATAAACAGGATAAAAAGAAGAAAACTAGAGTATTTGGGTCACATAACCAGAGGAGAAAAATATAAGCTGCTGAGAATTATTTTGCAAGGAAGGATCCAAGGAAGAAGAAGCATAGGAAGAAGACGCATCTCCTGACTGAGGAACCTTAGAGAATGGTTTAACTGTAGTTCACCACAACTTTTCAGAGCAGCAGCCAACAAAGTGACCATAGCCGTTATGATATCCAACCTCCGATAGGAGATGGAACTTTAAGAAGAAGAAGATTAACAAACATGCTTTTAATATTTTACCTCTTGAACAGATGCAAGAGGCTACAAAGGTCCTCCATTACTTCTTTCTCAGAATATTCATATAAATTCAACACAAGTTGCGGCGCTTGGGAATTTAGCGTTTTTCCAAGCATATCATAAAAATAGTAATAATAAGTAATCTCGAAAATATCTAATAAGTTTCTGTTCGACGGAACTATAGCCAGACTCATGTAGTATAATGACAATATTTTGTAGATTAGTAACCCAAAAAAATTAAATTAAAATTAATCAATAAACACGATAACAAATGAGCTATGTCACTGTCAATGAAAACTATAAACGTCAAAATTTACAGTAAACAAGGTATCAAAGACATGCACATTGTTGATCCTTGTTTAACTTATTGTGATTTCTATGGATAAGCGGCTTAATTTTGCAATACTAGTTTCTGTGAGTAAAAAAGAGACCTAGTATAAAAAGTAATTCGTGAATAATTTCATGCATGGAAAAAGATAGAGAGGGCGTAATATATGAGTCAATATAAAATCGAATGGCTTTGAAAGGTTATCAAAATACTTATTTAAAGTTTTTCAAATTTTCATTGGGACACCAAAGATCTATTAAATCTAATAAATCCAATTTTAAGTTCACTTTAACATAATATACTTCATTGTTTTATTATACTGCAGTCAATATTATCACCACTCTACTTAAAATCGTATTCATATTATATCTAAAATTTTAGTAATATTACATTATTTCAGGCAATTGAAAAAATGGTACAGTTAAATATTGCTGAGGACAATGAACAAATGATCGATTTTAAGCTTCGTTTGGCCAGAATATATAGTTTATATCGCGAAGATGTTCTTGCCGAAATTGGATTTGGTACATGTCTAAGAGATCAAGAAAGAAAAATTATTAACGGAGATTTCTCAACAAGAACCGGAATGCTCTATATAAATTGTTTATTCTTTTATGGCCTTCACAAAATTGGGATTTCAGAACATAAAACTGCTAGGCAGCTAATAGATTCAGCTTATAATTACGCAATGAAACTGAAAGGACTTAGTCCCTATCAAGAAATGATGATATTGGGAACGTTGGCCGAGCTTAATACGGAGCTTGAGGAATATGAATTAGCACTACAAAATGTAAACAGCGCCATTATATTGGGAAAAGGTATAGGAAGTTTTAATTTACCAAAGTTGTATTTAAAACTTGCTAAAATTTACATCAAATTAGATTCTGAAATTTTAGCTGAACATTGGTTACGAGAAGCTAACAATTTAGCAGAGTTGTTTAGTGACAAGAGAGTTGTGGAAGAAACAAAATTACTTCTTCAAGACATAGAGTCACGAAAATATTAAATTTTCCTTTTTTCTATTTTAATTTACATTAGGTTTATATAGACCATTAAAATAAATAATTCTATTTAGGTTTTTTAACTATACTTTCAGTGTATATTTTTACAATTTGGTCTTTTTTGAACCACAACAGTTTTATTCTAATTTCTTACTCCTCATTTCATAGGATACCTAACCCATTTCACTCAACAAGAAATTGAGAAAGGGGCGCATACATGTAAATCAATCTACTAATTCTAGGTGTAAATCAAATAAGTAGGTTACTATGAAAATGTATAATAATATGAAAATGAAAATATTGCCGGTTTACAATATTTTAATACCTCTCGGTACATTTTAATAAGTAATATGCGGTCTTTACGACCAGCTAGCAAGAGACCTATTCACAGCGCGTTTTGGCAAATTAAAATTTGGTCACCACAAACTATCCAAGTCATTATTTAATTTCTATCGGTGGTGTTACATAAAGTAATCTTAAAAGTATTGTCGACAGAAAAAATTATTAGATCGATGACAACATTATTTTTAATATTTTTTTTTAGATAATTAAGTGTCAAATAACAAACATACTGTTTATCAGTCAAAGCGATTTTTATTCTGTCATAAATGGGCCTCTTCTCTATTTTAGAACGTTTAATAAATAGTTGAATAAATAATTCAACAATGAAACCTACTTTATGATTTAAATTACTGTTATCTTTTTTTTTCGTCTTTATAGAATGGGTCTGGAATCTACAAAAGACATTCGTTCTTCGTACTCCCGGTAATAGTTCCCGAGGTACTTTAAAACGCCTTCTCGTCACCTAGTCTACGCCGAATGCCTACCTGCTAAACTAGATCCTCCTCTGTCATCCAGCTATCCAGAAGCGGAATGGCCGCTGCTGTAATGCCGGCATCTCTTTCGAAGCACTACCTTCATTGATCTACAGACTATCAACATGGAGGCTCCCTGTCCCTTTTTTTGGTCCCAAAAAAAAGCTCGAGGTAACACGAAAGAGCTCTTTCCGAACGGCAGATGGCATGGAGTGTACAATAACGAGGGAGATGAGCGAGCCGTAGTCTTTACCATGGGTGAACTTGTCGAGGCATTGGAACTGGATCAGATACCACCTGAGATGGTGAAAGATTCAGGACGAGTGGAGCCTGCGTGGCTTCTAGAATACATGAATGCACTGTTGGAAGCACATACCTTTCCTAAACTTGGAGGACATCGAGGTTAGTACTGCTCCCCAAGGCTGGGGAATGGTATCGACCTATCTATCTCCTTCCGTGCATAATTATTCCAGGAAATACTTAACGATCAACAAATTTATTGTGGTCATTAAAAGATCAACCATTGATAGTGAAACTCACTGTTAAAATGTTTACAACTTTATGAAATAAAATGTATTCTTATCGTTTTTATAATTCTATACGATTTTTTAATCGTTTTTATATTACCAGGATTTTATGATACAAACAAGATAACGACACTCCACAGTAGCTTCAATTTTACCTGAATACTTACCTGCTCAACTAATGTTGACTAAGGGTACTTGCAGTCGGGTTTTATTGCAATCATTAAGCACTCAACCATTTTTTGTGAAATAAACTATATATGTAGCGCTGACAACGTGGATTAAGTGACTTCAAGGCGATGCAACTACAGTCACGTATAACTGAAATTATGCGCCCCGTTGTCCGCGTCATAAAGCTCGTATAATTGGGCGCTAAGGCAATGTATTAGATTTCTTCAATTTTCATCATCTGGGACATTACATTTAATCACTTTATTATTACCTACACCGTTAATCTTATTTACTTTTATTTGTTCAATCTCGTATTAAAATTTTTCTACATGTTCTACTAGTCACGAGTAAAAGTAATTTAGGTTTCTTCTTCTTCGCGTACCATATCAGAACTATCCGACGTTGGCGATCACCATTGCGAAGGCTTCTCGATCTTCTGCAATATGGAATAATTGTCCCGCATTTGGTATCTGAGTCCATTCATGTTTTTTAACCAAGAAACTTCTTTTGACTTGACTTCCCCTTAGTATATGTCCCAGATAAGACATTTTTCGATGTTTAACAGTCTTTAGAAGTTCTCTGTCTTTGTTGACGCTTCTTAGTACTTCTTCATTAGTTTTTCTTGCTGCCCAAGGTATCTTCAGCATTCGTCTATGAACCCACATTTCCAATGCTTCAATTTTATTCATAATCGATACTTTTAGCGTCCACACTTCTGCACTATACAAAAGTACAGACCAAACATAACACTTAACCATTCTTTGCCTTAGTTCTAAAATGAGATGGTTATTGCAAAGAAATGAGTTCATTTTCATAAAAATAGTTTTAGTCATTGCTACTCTACGTTTTATTTCTATGTCTGGATCTAGTTGGTCCGTTATCACAGTTCCCAAATATGGCATTTTGTGAACTTTCTCAACTTGGATTCCGTTTAATTGAAGCTTTGCATCGGGATGTGGGTCACGACTGAACACTAAAAATTTGGTTTTGTTTGAGTTTATTGTTGGCGACTTAAAATGCAACCTTGTCTGACTCCTCGTTGTATGGGGATTTCATCGGTGTAGTATCTCCAATTTTTACGATAGCAGTTTGATTCCAGTACAAATTTTTAATGACACGAATATCCTTGTCATATATTCCGATATTTTTCAGTATTTGCATTAATTTTATATGCTGTACTTTATCGAATGCCTTTTCGAAGTCCACGAAACATGCAAATACATTTTTTCTTTGATCACGGCATTTTTGTAATAGGATGTTAAGCGCAAAAAGTGCCTCCCTGGTTCCCATAGCATTTCTAAAACCAAATTGGGTATCTGCAAGACCTTCTTCGCATTTGCGTCTAATTCTGTTGGTATTCTGAGGAAAATTTGAAGAGTGTGGCTCATTAGGCTAATTAATCGATATTCTGAGCATTTTCTCGCATTGTGTTTTTTAGGTATTGCGATAAAGATGGATTTGAGCCAATTTGCGGGAATCACTCCGGTGTTATATATTGAATTTAAAAGTCTTACTACTACTTTTATGTTATCATTCTGTATTAGTTTTAGCAACTCAGTTGGTCTATCATCTGGACCACAAGCTTTTCTAATTTTAGCATTATTTATAGCATGTTCTACTTCGCATTTCATAATTTCTGGGCCGTCAGTACAGTTTTGGTAGAATTCGACAATATTATTCCTGTCATCTTCAAACAACTCTGATATATACAGCTGTCATTCTTTTCTTATTTCTTGCTCATTTATAATAATTTTGTTATTGGTGGCAATAAGTACAGAGGGAACTCGTTTTTTAAATATATTACTCATTTCTTTCAGTTTTTTGTGCACATTAAATAAGTCGTGTTTAGATATTGCATCCTCAATTTCGTCGCACCTTTCACTCATCCATTTTTCTTTGGTTAATTTGATCTCCTTTTTTATTCTTCTCTGTAGGTGTCTATATTCTGTTACATTAGATTTTATCAGTCGACGTTGTTCCATTAATTTCAAGATGTCGTCCGTCATCCAGATATTTTTCTTGATTAAGTTTTTTCTATAATCATTGTTTGTGGAGATTTCGTTAACTTGGTTTTTAAATTCACTCCATAGTTCTTCTGGATCTTCTAGTTGTTCCCCCATGTTTTTTATTCTATTGCTAAATTCTTTTTTAATGTTATGTTTTAGTAAATGTAATGTAAAGTTAAGTACATTGGTTTTAGTCGCTGAATTCGGTTTAAGCTCAGTTTAATATCTGCTAAGAGTGGTTGATGATCAGATCCAATATCTGCCCCAGGATATGTAGTGACTTTTTTCACGGCATTTCGGAAACACTCATTTACAAGTATATAGTCTATTTGATTTCTAGAAGACTCAGGGTTATTGCCATCATCAAATGGGGCTTTCCAAGTCTATAGTCGTCGGTTGGGTAGCTTGGATCTGATCATACAACTTCTCGCCTTCATCGTCATATTTTCTATCTGCAGTCGGGGCATGTTAGTTTTAAATGGTTGGGTATCTATTTGGAGTAATATTATTCTACCCGAGACTGGTACGAAATTGGTCACATATTTACTCAGTTCTGATGTTACTAATATACCTAGACCATTTTTGTGATGCGGGTCTTCTGTGCTGTTACCGGAATAATATAATACACTTCCGTCCTTTTTAAATGATCCTGACCTAAATGAAATTTGGGTTTACTAATTGTTTTTCCTTCTGGTGCCTCTTGTTGTGGTAACGGACAGAGTCGAAGGTGAGAGGATCCATTTTCTGGTTGTTTCCCTCTTCTTCCTACCTTTCGTACCCGTACTGTTCCATTTCTCGTATGCTATTGAATAATTTCTATATATGCCTGTATCTATTTTGCTAGCAAATCCAGCAAATGCCATTCTTTACTCTCGTTGGGATGTCTTTTATTATCTTGGGAGAAGAAAACAAGTTATCATTTTTTTTATTATTTATGAGAATTACAGAAACGAATTGATTAAATTAATATGTACAGTATTGTGCGAATTAATGGAATCATAGGCTGTTTTAATGAAAAAACAGTTTATTTAGTAAAAAATTATATTTTGACAAAACTATAAAGGTAAACTTACATCATTCAGTAGGAAATATGTCCCCCTTTGGCAGCAATTACTGCTTTTACCCGTTTTGGCATAGATTCTATGAGTTTCTGGCAGTTGTCAGATATCCTTTCATCTCGATACCAAACCTGAATGGCCGCTTCTATCATTTTTGTTTTAGTGGTACAGTCGATTTTTCGCAGTCTAGCTTTGCAAGTGGCCCATCAATTTTCAATGGGGTTTAGGTCGGGCGAATTACCGGGCCAATCTAAAACATTAATCTTATTTTTGAAAAATGCCATCATTTCCTTTGATTTGTGACAGGGAGCAGAGTCCTGTTGAAGAATCGCTCCTCCTTGGGGTTGACATTTTTGGAGTTGTTTGTCCAAATACTTTTCCCACATTGATTTGTATTTTTGGCTGTTCATCATGCATTCAATTGGCACCAAAGATCCAACCCCCATGTATGAAAAACATCCCCAAAACATTTTCTTGTGAATATTGAAAAAATGAAAAAAAAATTCACAGTGATTCCATTAATTCGCACAATACTGTACATAATATGTACATGTAAACGTAATTATTTTTATAAACGTAACAAATAACATCCAAGAACTAGTAATTTTAGGACAAAACAAAATCATTTTATCACAGAATATACTACAAGGACAACATAGACGAGTTAGTTATTTTAGAACAAAAAAACTTTAGTTAAACGAAGACTCAAAAATAAACTTAATCTTTAAAATTGATGACAACTTTTCCTCTTAGATGACCCTTTTCAATGGTTTCGAGAGCTTCTGGTAGTTTATCAAAGGTAAATGTTTCATGAATAACTGGTTGTATCTAAAAAATAATTGGAATTAATTGATGTTTGTAGGCAAGAAATACTAAATTCATGAAAATACCAAACTAAACCTATTAAGTTAGTTTTGTATTTGACACAACTGTATAAACGGTTTTGACAGTTGAAATGTGTAGTATAAGAGAAAAAGTATTAAATTATTATTTATAAACAATTTTTCCATAAACTCTTATTACATTTGAACAAATCAGTTTTTAGTATTAAAAAGTAATTTTTAGAACAAAAAATCGATATATTATAAGAAATAATAACTTCTTAAAGTTTAAATTCATTAGATCAATTTGTTTCGCAAATTTATTATAGTTTGAGTAGTATGGGCGCACCAAGCGCGGCCGGTCAGGGTCGGCAGTACCGACCCACACATTTATAGATATTATAGCTCTTTTTAATATTTAATATAATATATATATATATATATATATATATATATATATATATATATATATATATATATATATATTATATATATATATATAATATAATAATTCAATATTATATATAATTCAACAATTAATTATCGCGGTTAATAAGTTGATGTTATTTGTTTCTTTGAAATAAAAAAAATATCTGTCAGATAATGCAGATTACATTTTATGCTTGGTTTTTAAAAGAATTCGATCAATTCAAGCGTTAAGTAATCTCTGCGCATCAAGACCCTTTTCAAATTAATGATATGAGATCCGAGTCATGCATCCGACTGTGTGAATTCTTGTACAGACCCGTTTCAACAAGCCGATCCCAAGCTTGACCTTCTTCTTCTTAACATGCCATACACCAAAGTGCGTAGGCGACTATCTCATTACTAGAATTCTGTTCTTGGCGGCGTGACACAGCTCGCCTGTATTGTGTATTCATGTCCATTCTTTAATATTCCTTAACCAGGATAATTGTTTGCGGCCGGCTCCTCTCCTACCTTCGATCTTCCCTTATAGAATTAACTGTGGTATTTCATATTTTGCTCCTCTCAATATGTGCCCAAGGTAACCAATCTTGCGTTTTTTAATTAATTCAAAGAGTTCTCTTTCCACGCTGGCTCTCTTAAGGACGTCATCGTTTCGAACTCTATCCACCCAAGGTATGCGCATCATTCTTCTCAATGATCACATTTCAAATGCTTCAAGTTTGTTGATAGATGTTTTTTTCAAAGTCCACGTTTCCATGCCATAAAGCAAGATGGACCATATATAGCACTTGACTATTCTGTAACGTATTTCGAAATTTAGGTTATAATTACATAGGAGCGGTCTGAATTTCACAAAAGCTTGTCTTGCCATTTGTATTCGGGTTTTTATCTCGTGTTGTGGATCCGATTGGTCATTGATTGTGGTGCCAAGGTATTTAAAAGTTTTCACGCGTTTTATACGATCGTCACCTATGCATATTATCGGGTTTTCTGGAGGGTTTCTGCTAATGACCATATATTTCGTTTTCAAAATGTTGATTTTGAGGCCATATTTTTTACCTATGCTATTCACCCTATCAAGTAATAACTGCTGATCTTCCAAATTATCAGTTATAATCACTGTGTCGTTCGCATAGCGTAGGTTGCTAATTGGTATGCCGTTCACCTTAATGCCTAATTCCGTGTCTTCTAATGCTTCCGCAAATATATTTTCAACATATAAATTAAAAAGCATCGGAGAGAGTATGCAGCCTTGGCGGACACCTTTCCGGATTTCAGTTGGTCTTGATCAATTTCAATTGGACCGTTTGACACAAATACCAAGTAAAATATACCATTAAATTAAAAAATTAAAATAAACTTTCTAAAAAGGAAATAATAAAATATTGATGCATTTAAATATTATATATATATATATATATATATATATATATATATATAATATATACATATATATGTATACATATATATGTAAACATATATATGTATACATATATATGTATACATATATATATATATATATATATATATATATATATATATATATATATATATATATATTGGGATAATAATTAGATATACAAAAAATTAGCATAGTAATATTATGACGTTTAATTAATAAATTTACTTAAATAGTAATTGAAGACATAATTTATAAGTTATATACTAGCGAATATTATTAAAAAATAATTATATTGAGGGTTTTTTTTAAGAATTTAGCATAAGAATTAAGTTTAAGAAGTTTTTTTTTTCATTTTATTTAATAGTTTAAGTCAGCCATGTGCATATGCAACCAAACATACAATGTGTTCTTTGACGTTTAGATGGAAAGTGGGGTTATTTATTATTTGGAATTTTAATTTAAATATAATTACGGATGTTAAATAGTGATAATATATTAATGTAAGATGTTTAGTGTATATATAATAGTGTATTCCGATCTGCAGAGAATAAATGCCCGTTAAATTATCTATAGAATGCAAGGAATTTTCTGGAAAACGTCAATATGACTATTTGCATAGTAGAGGATTCGAGAACTTTCATCTATAGATGAGATGAAAAGTTTAGAACATATTTTCATTCACGATAATTCTGGAACCCTGAAAAGATATAAAAAAGGATGTAATTAAAGCAAGAGGGGATTATTAAGTCAGTTACAGGGGATTATTAAGTAAGTTACAGTTAATTCGTGAAGTTAGTAAAGTTAGAATTCAAGAATTTAGTTACAAGGGGATTATTAAGTCAGTTACAGGGGATTATTATTAAGTCAAGTACAGGGGATTATTAAGTAAGTTACAGTTGATTCGTGAAGTTAGTAAAGTTAGAAGATCATTAAGTTAAGGAAGTCATTAAGTTACAGTCAATTATTCAGTTACAGTCAATTATTAAGTGAGTTATTTAGAAGAAGTCAGAAATTAAGTTACAATTGATTAAGTGAGAAGAATTTATGAAGTGATTAAGTTAAATTAAGTTAGAAAAAAGGATTAAGTGAGAAGAAGTCAGTTAGTCAGGTACAATTAAGTCATTAAATTAGATTTATCAAGAAAATTAGTTCAATACAGTTATAATTAAATTAAATAAGAAAGGATTATCTTGGAAGAATTCATTAAGTCAGATACAATCGTAGAGTAAATTAATTCAACAATATAGACATTTCAATACAGGAGTATAATATATTATATGGAGATTACAAGGATAACCGAGGCTAATTAAGAAGATATTTAGTGGTGATTATAAATTTGATTTTGGAAAAAAACTTTAGGCTTTCAGTGACAGAAAGGTACCAAATTTTGTTAATATAATTTAATTATTGTAAGAATTTCAAATTTAGATAGGTTGTTTTAAATTTAAAATTGTTTATATTAGATATATATGTATGTTTCATAATAGTTATAATAAAGATAATTAAAAAAAATACTTACAAACTAATTCTTTGAGAACCGCGATAAAAACCCTATACTCATATATTTTATTTTAAACACTCATTGCTCATATACAAAACAAAACATCATAAAAAAAAAATATATATATATATATATATATATATATATATATATATATATATAAATTACCCCCTCCCTGTAAACCCGTTTATATTAAAGATAAAAAAAAATCGCTCGTACATCTCGATTTTTAAGCTTCTTTTAATATCTAATGGTATCGACATTTCAATCGTGATCAACTTTTGACTGCCGATACAGGCGGCACAATAAAATGAAAACTGGATGGCGTTTAAATCACTAAATAATTGTTAGAAACGTGTACGGATCTTAATGTAATAAATATGTATATAAAAACGCTTAAGCGCTTTATATGAATTAAATAATTACCTTCTTATTTACAATAAATTTATGAATGAACTGGAATCCACTGGCCGATGGCACGAAAAATCCCCACATGGCTCTACCGCCTTGTTTCCATCGATCCATGTTTATACTAATCAAACTACTAATACTCCGTATCAATCCTGAAAGTAATCCAAATTGGTCGGTATTCTCAAATAATGGTGAATTTAGCGTTATGTAAGTATCATGCTGCCATTCTTTTGGTATGTTTTTGGAACCAATTTTAGCACCATCTAATATTATGTGATACCTTAAAACAAAAGATAAATTATTGGGAGTCTAATTTTTTATGGCTTTGGATTACTTGGATATTGTATTGTTTGCCCTAATATAAAATATAGAAATGTTTAAAAAATCATTGTGGGTATAAACATTAAATTGGCCAGTAAGTATAGACTTTATTCAAGGCCCACAAAAGCCTATACTAGCGTACAAAACTTAAGGGGAATACTTATGGGGGGGAGACAACGGAATGTAATGTAATGCAAAGGAATGTAATGACCAATAAAAGTTGGCTTGGGCAGCATTCGGTAAACTGAACTATATACTCAGAAATCAACAAATTCAATTATATCTTAGATCTAAAGTTTTTGATGCATGCATTATTCCGATATTAACTTATGCGGCACAAACATGGACAATCACAAAAAAGAATATGAATATACTTAGAGTCACTCAACACGCGATGGAAAGAGCAATGCTAAGTATATCACTTAAGGACAAGAAAACAAACACATGGATAGGACAGAAAACCAAAGTCACCGATGTGGTGCAAAAATCATTAAAGTTGAAATGGGAATACGCTGGACATGTAGCTAGGAGCGATATAAACAAATGGCACAGATCAATTTTAACCTGGAGACCATACCAACACAAAAGACCCAGAAGCAGACCTCCTATGAGATGGACAGATGAACTAAAAAGGACTGCCGGGAAAAATTGGCTACAAGTAGCGTACAATAAAAAACAATGGAAAGGAAGACTTGAAGAGGCTTATGTTCAGATGTGGACGTGAATGGCTAGACGAAGAAGAAAAAGATTCAATGTTACACCAAAACGGTTATCCCATCTTTAACTTTGTCCTTTTTTTGCCTTTGCCAACTGCAATATTCATAGTAAGCACCGTATACGCAGCTCTACTCTGACTTTACCCATATCACACACTTCTTTCGTTATCTCTGAATTAATTATAATCGAATAATTAATTAATTATATATATATATATATATATATATATATATATATATATATATATTAAAAGTGCCGGTCATTCTATAATAAATTTGTTAATTACGAATGTAACAAATTGCAAAAGTCTGGATTATAAACGATCATTTAAAATGGAGATTTATGAAAAACTGACTGGTTGTGTGGGTGGCGTGGGTGTCCTATTAGCAATACTCTTTACTGTTTTCCGTATTAACTATATCGACATGAGGAATCAGAATGGTCAAAATACGACGTTAAAGATTTAGTTTATTTATCCGAAAAAATTAAAAAACATTAACATTCAAAGTCACATTTATCTGCTAAATTAGGTATTACTTTATTAGGTAATTTATTAGTAATTTATTAGGTAAAAAGATATTCGTTAACTAAATAATGACATACCGATTAAATATTGAAAAACATTATTCAAAAAAATAACGAATAATATTTACGTCTTATCAAAAATAAGAATCCGTGTCAAATTTTGCTTGCTCTCCGCGGTCATGATGAAAGAAAGGATTCATTAAACCCTGATATATTTAGAAGTATCATAAATTTTTCGGTATTTGTTTACAATTAGTAAGGGTCGCTAAAAATGTGAATTTTTTTTTACTTAATGTGAAAAATGGAAATAGGCAAAATTTCCGTGCTTTTTATTACGGAAACCTACGACGGTGTAAAAAAGTTAAAAAAAATTGAAAAAAACATTATAACACGTAGGAAATCTAAAATTAAGAAGATGAAAATGTTATCAAAATACGAATTAGCCTTAGTTATATAAGATGCAAAAACCAACTGTAAATACTAATTATTTTTTCCCTATTAAATTATACAAAAATATAAAATATTGTAAAATGACCAAAATTCGTACATTTGGAAAAAAGTCGAGCGCATTTGCATACAGTATAAAATATTCGGCACATGTTTAATGTTGTCACATATACATTTGTTTTTTGCGGAGTAAATATATTGAATTTAAATTTTAATAAGAGTGTACTTCATATGAGTTTTTCTTCTTCCTCTTGTAGTGCCTATCCGTTTCGGATGTTGGCGACCATCATGTCAATCTGAATCTTGCAGAGTAGATTTTTCATTCAGGAAAGCCTTCGACTTCCTGGTCCTCATTTTCCATTTACTTTTTGTTGTAGAATTAATTGCCGTAACCCATATAGTACGTTAGGTTTTAAATTAGATATACACCCTATAAATGGCAACACTGCGCGCCGTCGACTTTCTATGAACCTGATTCGTTGATCCGTGGCCAATCATTTGTCATTATACATTGGTTGTTTAAAGCGTTAACAGCGTAGATCTTTAATTTATTTTTGTAAACAGCATGTCTACTTATACGCCCATGGAAAAGGTTCAAATAATAAAATGGTTTTATGGTGGTAATTCTAGACAAAAATGTGTAGATTTATTTTTTGGATTTTTTTGAGAGGGGACTAGAGATTGCAATTGCTGGATCCAGCAATTGCTGGATCCAGCAATCCAGCTGGAACCATCGTTTTTTCTTATATGTTGGATCCAGCAGCGCGGATCCGCAAACGTGTCAAATTCAAAATAATTTACTTCATGTCTTCATTAGCCTCTTTATTCAAAGCCGGGAGTCGGCTATTTGCCATTCTATCGCGCTAGCAGGTATGACGTGCCACAAGTGCAATTGCACTGAAACATCGCGTCGTCCTCTCTCTCGACTGCACCGCCTACACCTACCCAGTCAAAGTGTTTTAACGCCTAAGAAGTGCCTTTCTCAATCTGCTGTACTGCCGTGTGTGTTGTTTGGAAACTGAATGGTAAGTAATTTGACTAAATATCTAATAATTTAGCATAATTTATGATTAGAACATCACTTGATGATTTATGTAAGTTAATTGCAATAAGGATCGACCAGTCAATAGTAAACACTTCCTTCTTCAACACCGATCTTATCCAGTACAGTGCGTCTTTTACAAATATTTATTTTTGCCCATTTCCAGCAATTTTCGCCAACAGTTTTTCTGCGTGGACATGATATCTAGTCTAGCTTCATCTGAAATCAAAAAGTCAAAAATTTTCTTGTAGTTTATAGCTCTGGCTAGTAAATACACGAAACAACTAAAGAAAAAACGAAATTTGGAGATTCTACATAACACATTTCGACCCATATTTTTTCTTACATTTTTTCAAATTTATTCATTTTCAAGTATTTTTTTGTATAAAACAAAAACGACTTGACCTAATGAAATTTCTGCGTTTATTCACTAGCCAGAGGTACAAACTACAAGAAAATTTTTAATTTTTTGAGGTAAGATTGATTGCGAATTATTACTGATTATACGTTCTAATTTGATTATATACAACTATAAGATAATTTTTATTTTGAGTTTTTATTTTATTAGTTTGTATTAAACAGTTTAAGTAATAAATGAACAAAAAACATTAAAATTGTGTTTTTATTTTAACTCCACATTTTGCTGGATCCGCACTGGATCCAGCTGGATTCAGATCAAATATTTGAATCATTTCTGTAGGGCATAAAAAATTATTTCTTATTTTATTAGAAATAACTTTTTATTTTCAATAAGAGTAAATTTTTTGTTTTATCTGTTTAAACAGATGCGCATTTTTTTTATTCAACCACACAATTTTTCACATTATTAAAAACCGATAAAAATGCAACCGCTTTATAAAGGTCATTTTTATCGAGTTTATGTACTACTATTCGATTTTGGCTGTTTTATTGTGGTTAACCACACTTTCCTTTTTGCATTCTTAATAAACATCCTGGTTAGTTAAGTGGTCGGTATAGGATATCTTCAGGATTCGACGATAAAGCCACATTTCGAAATAGGTACCTACGTGAGAGTAGGTACACGACTCAACCCCTACAACAGTATAGGAGAGATATAATATCGTAGTAACCTGATTTTTTTGGGTACTGATAAATCATGGCATTTGAATAGCTTAGCCATTTTTTGAAATGCAGATCTTGCTTTCTCTCTCCTACATTTTATTTCTAGGGAATGGTACCTTTCGTACCAAGTGTAAGTTTTTACTCTTTCTACCATTCACATTCATTCTTTCAATTTGCTGTTCTTTCTTAGATATCAGCATACATTTTGTTTTCTTAATGTTCAGTGAAAGTCCATATCTCTGACTCACTTATGTGATTCTATTCATTAACTCCTGGAGGGCTTCATAATTGTGAGCGAATATCACCGTGTCATCCGCGTATCTGATGTTATTGATATATTCTCCGTTAATTCGAATTCGGTTTCAACCTCCTCCACTTCTTCTTGAAAGATATCCTCAGAGTATTTGTTAAACAGCAAGGGTGATAGTGCACATCCCTATCGGACCCCACGTTTGATTTTGATATCATCGGATTCTCCTGTCTTTGTACGGATAGACGATGTCTAATTCCAGTAAAGATTGCTAATAGTTCTTAGATCATAGGAATTTTATTCCAATATTTGTCTCCATCATCTTGTCGTGTTTTACTGTAGCGAACGTTTTATGGTAATCAATGAAGCATGCATAAATATTCATATATTCTCATTATTAAAATTCTCATAAATTCGTATGAGTTACTATTGTTTTTTGGGTAAATATATCGCACCTTGAAAACCATATGGCAATATCTGCAATTTTTTCGTGAAGTGACCTTTGAATGCAGTCTAATAGAAAAAAAAATCTATTTTTTAATGCTATATAGCAGCATCTACAACGAATTTTAAATTCGGCACCAGAAAGATACGTCCTTATGGCTTTTGTAAAAAAACCATTCTTATTTTTATACCATCAGGCATTATCTGCAGTTGTTGCTCTATGGTTCTAAAATAGGAACAAAAACTCGGATCTATCTGGCAATATCAGCAATTAATGCCAAATAAATGCTACATTGCCTGTGACTACGTTTATCTGTTGTTTTCATGTTGTGAGTAAACAATCGTGTTTAATTTAGTTAAACGTAGTAAGAAGCAATTCAAGAACCATGAACCATAGAAGATTGAATTTTCTACAATCTTATAAGTTATTTTTCGTGTAATAAATGATGTT